GAGGAGTTGCAGACCATGACTACTGGGGGCGCCAGCGCCCGGACCCCCGACCCGGCAGACAGGGGGATCCCCACAACGAGGTGAGGAGCCCCCCCAACCACCCGGGCCAAAGGGACCCACAGACAGAACCCCCAGTAGCAGACCGCACACAGCCCCCCACATCCAACAGTGCTACCAACTGCGCCACCCTGCAGCCCTGGAAATATATTAATAGTAATAATGGAATGCCATTATTGCCCATAGTGCAAGGATAGAGCATGATGCTCTATCTCACCCTTCCTCACTCCCCACCTCTCCTCGCTTGCTGCTCCTCCCCCTCCCCCCCGGGTTCAGAGTTGATGTTTGATGGTTCAGGGGACGAAGGAGTTTTTGGTCCCCAATATACCCCAAGGACCAAAGGCTCCAGTACCAGTGTCCTAGTGCCAGACACCACAGGCTCGACTGGACCTACACAACATCAGGCCAGCAGCTGGCTGATAGGTATGTAGAGATATGACTGTCCCTATACAGAAAGTGATACCTATCAACTCTACAATAACGCTTAATATGTAAACAAACTGTTTTGAAATGGTGTATTTTCACAGACTGAGCGATACGAGGCAGCCATGTACACTTGATTATCCGAGAATATCGACGGCAGTTTCAGTCACATGAAATGAGTAGGTAACTGGGCATTATAGCATCAGTGTGTACTTTGTTAAAGGAGACAAATATTTAGAATAAACTCTAGAAAATGTTGACCCAAAAACAAAAATAATACTTTATTTGACTTTTCAAAAAAAAAAAGAAGTATGAACTGAAACCTGTTTAGTCATTGTGTCTGTAAATGTTTAAAATATGTATGCTGTTTTAAATTCTTCTCCAAACTGAGGCCAACTGAGGATACTGTTGTGAACAAAAAACAACTTTCAGCCAGGAGAGGACCACAAAAATGACCACTGCTTATCCAAATGACTTCAAACTTGACACTGCATGTCCACAGGCCCTTTGCAATGCACCCACGCATGTGTGAAGCAGATCGTACGAGCGGTTGTCAAGAAAAGCAAAGAGCAGACACACACATAGATTCCTTCATTTATCAGTTACATTACAGAACTAAGTGAATTTATGGGCGTTTGCCATCAAAGCAGCAGAGCAAAGGCCCGCAGATTTATTCTGTTTGCTGCATGTTCCATTTTCATCACTTATTTAATTCTGGAATAATTCAACAGCATCATCATTTGGCCGTAGTGGCTCTACATCAACCCATCTGCGAATCCACTGAATACAAAAGAATATAAAAGCTTGAGTAGTGAGTTACAACTGCATAGCTCTCTGCAACACCATGTACAGATGGTAGCACTAATGCAGTTTAACTTCTCATACGGGCCATAAATTGTTCGTATTGTGTTAGATAATCCTCAATGCCTCCTCCCCTTTCACGCAACCATCAGCCAGTGGCCATTTACAAACTCAGGTTTCACCCTCTCACAGGTTAACTAAACCCTCCACCTTATCGGCTTTCAGACCTACAACACATGTTGGGGTTGACAGCAGATAATAGAGGAGGCTTGGAGAAGTAGATCCAGTAAGTAGAGAGATATTTGATTTGAACGAGGCTATTCATGTAACAGCACAACATTTATGAACACCTAAGGTGACACCTCCTCTGCCACACAAACATCCCAGATGAAGCAGTAAAATTCTCCTTCTCCCAGCAGACGTCCTCCAGTATAGGATGTGTAAGCCTGCCAAAAATCAAACATGAGTACATTTAGGTGGGGTTTCATGAGCTTTTCAGGGAAAAGCCTGCTCTGTAAATAGGTCAAAGGTGTGGGCTATTTGCAGAATCTGGGCTCCATGTAGCTCCTTTGTTTACAAAGCCAACACCAGGAGGTACACTGGAAAAACATATGGAGTATCAAACAACCTCACCATCACATGGGAGCGCTTATACTCAGAACTTGGCAGAACTTCCACGACATCTGTACCAATTCCGCAGTATTTGTACTCATTAAATTAAGGACTGCAATTACTTATCAGATTGAACGGTTTAAACAGTGTGTTGTGGTCATTTGAGGTTAGACTGTACTTGCAGTAGCTTCGTGTTTACTGCAGCTGGAGCACAGTGTCTCCACTCACAGGACAAAATTGGGACCGGCACGATCAACAACCTCAACCCAGTCCAGCGAAGTCTGAAAGTGATTGCTAGTGTGATGGCGCATAAGGTCAAAAACAGGACTTTGAAGGATGAAAGGTCTCTCAATCAAGACAATGACTGCTTCTTCATTTAGGGTACCTTATTGGCCACGTAAAGAGGCAGATAATTTGGCCATTTCATTCATCCATCCATCCATCCATCCATCCATCCATTGTTTATGCACCGCTTAATACTCACTAGGGTCACGGGGGGCTGGAGTCTATCCCAGCCGACTTAGGGTGAAGGCAGGGGACACCCTGGACAGGTCACCAGTCTATCACAGGGCTACACTTAGAGACAGACAACCAAGCACACTCACATTCACACCTACGGACAATTTAGAATCACCAATTAACCTCAACATGTCTTTGGACTGTGTGGGAGGAAGCCGGAGAACCTGGAGAGAACCCACGCTGCACGGGGAGAACATGTAAACTCACCGGGACACAAACCGGCGACCTTCTTGCTGCGAGGCAACGATGCTAACCACCGAGTCACCTTGCAGCTGACATTTCATTCAAAATGACTTAATTCTCGATGTCCATCTGAGTTTAAAGGATGGCAATATGAGGGAAAATGTTGTGTATTTTATTCCAGGTTTGGCTGCATTACCTTAGCATATAGCTGGACAGTGAAGAAGTACATTATTTTTGCAAGAACGCTTTGAATTGTTTTTCTTTTTTTACTTCAGAAATCCAGCTGATGGTAGCTGTTGGTCTCTGACAGCCAAAAGATCAATTTTGGGTAGAGTTTGGTTTGGTTACCACATAAACTGAGCCTTGTGTTTTACATTTCCAGTCATTCTCATAATAAGTCTTCTTTCATTTTTATGACGGCAAAGCTAAATCTTGTTTGACACTTCTCTGGACCTCTGGCAAAACTATGCACCTGCTCAGCCCCTTTAATCAACAATATAAAACTGTTTTTCTCACGTACACCCACAGACACACATGTTGCAAAAGTGTAAGCAGTCAATTCGATATTCTTCATTATCACTGAATAGCGAAGTGCAAATTGCAAAAAAATTTGTAGTCGTCTACTTGAGGTTTGAGCCTCAAAAAACTGGTTATCGAAAAGAGATATACTGTATACGTCAGCCAGGGAGACTTTAAAGGTGGGGTATACATTTTTCATCCAATGTTCGTTTTGCAAT